AGCACGAGAGCCAAAGGAGTCAAAGCCACCCTCTAGAGAAGTGAGAACCCCAAGATGTGCAAAATGACCAGATGGTAACAGAAGATTACTTGAAATGGCTTTCCAAAGGGTTGGTTTTTCTGGCTCTGTGGATGGATTATAATATTTGGGCAGGGAATATTCACTATCTTCCTTAGTGCTCCAATATGACACAAGGAGCACAGTACAGGAAAGTGAACAGGAACAAAACTGGGAAGGAAATAGCCAGGCTCTGACTGCTACAGTTAAGAGCCCACCAAAACCTGGGCATCCAGCTTTGTCCCTGCAGCACAGAATCTGTGCAGACAGCAAAGAAGCAAGCTGGGGTCAGCAGCTCATGGTGTGGGGTTGAAGACATCCTCTTCATCAGAAACTAAACTGGAGTGCCTGAGTGCTCAGCACATGTTCACAAATGTTAGTACAACAAGGTCTGGGTGGTAACAGGATTTGAAGGATGACATGCCTGGTACCAGGTGCCATAGGTCCAAACTCCTCAAGGAAACATGAAGTTCAAACAGCCTGAAAAAGCAGCTCAGAGCAACAAATGTCAAATGCTAATCCCACCTCCCAGGGTAAGCTCATAGATCAGGGGCGAGCTAGGAGACATAGGTGGCCTCAGAAACAGACTCAAATCTTACCCATTCCATGGGGTTAGATGATTTTCCTGCTGTGCACTGTAGGCATCCAGACGGGACCCAAGGATGAGCTCAGTTACTTCTTGGGAAGATCTGCAGTGTCTAGGCTTCTCCTTCACTTGGAGCAGCTCCTAAACACCCACACACAGCATGACCAGGACAGGATGGCAGCAAGAACCGTCTGTCAAGGGCTGCCTAGATTTTAACACCAGAGGCATGATAATACACACAAATACAGCATCTGAATGCAAGAGGTTAATTAATGCTTAACTAGTTAAACACCAAAACACACAGACATGTGACAAACATCCTCAAACTCCTCTTGCATTACATAAATGAGGAGGAAGACATCCTGTAGGTACTCGCAAACTGTATTTTTGTTGTTTAGCTTGTAAAAAAAATGAATGCCTGCTTTTCCTCTGTGGAGACACACATTCAGTTCCCTTCACTTTTCACAACATCTTTCAGAATCAAATGTGTTAAATGGGTCAGGAGAGCCAAGAGGAGAGCATCAACGGGTAAGATAAGCTGGGTCACATCAGCTACACTTCCTGAGCAGACTAGACTGAAGATGACATGTTCAACAGTACATCTTTTAAGTTTTGCAACCCAAAAGTTATCTTTCCCGCTGTTAAATCACACAATGCCATATGCAACAAATATAGGATACAAAAGCAGTGGCCCTATCTTGATATAGGAGTGTTACCCCAAAGCAACCAGGAACCTACACCAGCTGTTGTGTGGTCACTACAGGGTTGGAGAAAATCATCAAACAACAGGTCGTAACAAGGAGCGGAAATTTTCCCTGACAATAATTTGCCAAATCTGGCAAGTCTCAGGCCTGGAGCAAAGGGCTAACACAAATGGATCCATCCATATGAGCTCTGGAGGTTGGAGACCAAAGGAACAACTATAAGATGCTTGCAGGAGACCACCATTGTTGTCATGTCCTAGACCATGTGTAGATGCAGCCAGTCTAAAAAGGTCACCACCTCCACCTGTGCCTACATGCTGGATGGCACCAGGCTGCAATTCACAATGTAACTGCAGAATGCATCTCATCTTCACAGATCTGTGTCCTGCCACAGCAGGGCTCTGCCACACCACATGACAGCTGGAGTTGACCGAAGCTCAGAAAACTGTGGGGCCTTACAGGGATAAAACACAAATAGAGTACACACCTTTGAACCCAGGCTTTGCTGGGTGAATAGTTTTGCTCCTCTATCCAACATAGGAAGGGTGGGGAAATGCAGGGAAAGTAAGTGATAAGAAAAACAAGGAAAGAGAAGGCTGATCCCAACATTCATACAGTCATAGAATAGTTTGGGTCAAAAAGGATCTTCGAAGTTCATCCAGTCCAATCCCTCTGCTATGGGCAGGGACAACTTCAGCTAGACCGGGTTGCTCCAAGCCCTGGCCAACCTGTCCTTGAACACTTCCAGGGATGGAGTAGCCACAGCTTCTCTGGGCAACACTTATTTCAAAAAACTTCCTTATATCTAACCTAGATCACTACTCTTTTAGTTTAAAATCATCACTCCTTGACTTATCACAATAGGCCCTGCTGAAAAATACCCTCCTTCAAGTACTGAAAGGCCACAGTAAGGTCTCCCCAGAGTCATCTCTCCTTCAAGGCTGAACACCCTCGGAGCATCCTCTGGACTCACTCCAGCACATCCATGTCTTTCTTATGTTGGGAAAACAAATGCTGGAGGCAGCACTGCAGGTGGGGTCTTACCTAAGCAGAGCACATAGGCATAATGCCCTCCTTCCCCTGCAGTCCTTGCTGCTGGGGATCAAACCAGGACATAGGGAATTTTTTGGGCTGCGAGTGTACATCACAGGGTCATGTCCAGCCTTTCATCCACCAGTACTTGTCATCCAATTTTACCCTGATATAACATGCTCAGAAGGTCCACCAAGACCAAGAGCTCATTCCAGGTGTTTTGCACTAGACCTGCCTTTGAAACCTGACACACTTTCCCTCCTCTGTTGTGATTCCTGCAGCTGCCCCCAGGATCATTAACATCACTGTCAACTCCAATGGGGATCACACCTTCCAGGCCCGCTGCACAGCCGAAGGGGAGCCAGTGCCCACTGTCACCTGGACCGGACCCTCCCACAGCAACCTCACCTCCACCACCAGCACGAATCATCGTGTCACCAAGGAGCTCCAATACCTGACCCATGATGGAAAATACACCTGTACTGCTATCAACAGCCATGGGAGAGCAGAGGGGGCAGTGTATTTCTATAAATTCAAAGCATCCGACAGCTCATTCTTCCTGATCCTGATTTTTGTGTTGCTGGGGATGAAGGTGCTCATTTTGCTGGTGATACTGAGTTTCACCGTTTTCTCTAGAGGAGGTGAGTATTGCAACTTCCCTCAGTAATCCTCCATCTGACTGGTAACCAAAGATGGATGCAGCAGATAAAGTCAAGCAGGATTGGTTTGGTTTATTTAGGGGGTGGGGCTTTAAATGATTTTCTAGTCCAGGACAAGGACATTCCTAATGGGAAATCTTGAGAATAAGTAAGAGGGACCTCCTGGTTGGCTGGTTGCAGTGCGCTGACAGAGGGTCTCCTTTGGCAAGAGACCTTTGAAAAGACTGAGGTAGCAGGAGTTTCCCTGACCAAGGAGAAAGGCTAATAAAGTAACAGATGGGCAATTAGTGGAGAATTCACTGCCTACACAACCATATTTTTAATTATTTTCTTTTCTTGATGGAGGCTGAGTACTACATCTTCCCCTGCAGTCCACGGGCAGGATTTAACTTTGCTGCATCCCACACAACAGGCTAATCTCCTGGGATGGGCAACCTCATTTTACAGACCACCCATCTTGGTCCCCCAAGACCTTGCTACCCTGGTGCCTCTCTATTATTAGTGAAATCCCTCCTCCTAGCCACATCAAGGCCCTGAGAGCATGGAACACCAGCTTACAGATGAGAATCACTTCACGGACTGAGAGATGAAACATCCCAAGAAGCCAGGAGACCACTGGCCCCCAGCCTACCACTCCTGCTGTGTGATGGCATGGAGAAGAGGGGACCAGGAGGGCCATGGGGCTTTGCCTCTCAAGCTGGACAAGGTGTCATATCACTGTGACTCATCTGTAGGTACAGTCTGATGTCACGACTCATGAAAGCCACCACTTGTCTCACACAATAGAAGCTGCCAGACCAACTAGAAATGCTTTGCTCCTTATATACCAGTGCCTAATTCTCAAGCCATGATGAGGGCCTGACATCAGGTCTTCTTCCCATTCACTGGAGTGTTACAACTACCCTCCACGGCAGCTTACTGACAGATATAGGTCAGTCCTGACTCCCTAGCTCACCGTGACATTACTAATCCACATCATCCTTCCCACTTCACAGGTGTGTCTTCCGCTCCATCCAGTCTGGCCAGGTAAGGACTCACGTTATCCCACAGGAGGGTGGAGATGGCTATGGGGAGAAATGCAATGTGCCTTTGGTCTTGGCAACAATTTTCTGGCTTGAGAGCCAACTCCTGAGACAAGGAAAGGGTTGGGCTGTCAGCCAGGTAAGCTGGTGTGAGGGAACAAGGTTTGGACACTGCCAGAAGTAGGCTCTGTCTGGGTCACAGCTGGGAAGAGACCCCACTGGTGTGAGGATAAGGGACTGGGGCAGCAGGTTGGAGCGACCATGGCACATGGCACACAGCAAAGGGCTATGAGAAGTTTAAATTTGTCATAAGCACAGAACATGGCAGGAAGGCTGCAATCAGGCATGCAGTTAGGCTGAGAGAGTTGAGGTTGTTCAGCCTGGCAAAGAGAAGGTTCTGGGGAGACCTCAGAGCTCCTTCCAGTACCCAAAGGTGCCCCAAGGTAGCTGAGAGGGGCTTTGAACAAGGGCTTGGAGAGGACAGGAAGAAATTCTTGACTGTTGCTCAGAGAAGTTGCAGATGGCCCATCCCTAAAAGAGTTCAAAGCCAGGCTGGATGGGGCTCTGAACAGGGTGTTCTAGCAGAATGTGTCCCTGCCCATTGGGTCCTTCCAACCCAAACCATTCTGTGATTCTATGATGTCACATGAAACTAGCAACAGACCATCCACCCAAGGGATAGGTGAGGGGATGAGGTCTGTGCCAGGCTGAGGAATAATGAACGAGAGAAAGGAAATACCATGCAACTGAAACCTTCCCCTCCCTCTGCACCCCAGTTTCTAATGGAGCATAAAAAGTGCCCATACCAAAGCCAATGAGCTCTGCCAAATGTGGAGGAAGGTATGGAGATAACACACAGCCCACTTCCGAGCCAGCTCAGGTGTGACAGGGTCTCATTCTTTGCCTGGCATCCACACCATGCTCCCACAGGCCCCTGGCATTTCCCATAACCCAGCACAACACTGATCTGGACACTCCTAACAGCTGGGGTGGCCAAGCTAGAAAGGGATGGGAAAGGAAAAACTAAAAAACCCCAAACCAACCCTTAGTCTAACAGTAAAGAAGCTGTATCTGAAGCCAGTACTATTACATCTACATTAAGGCTGCTCCCTTCCAACCCGAGTTATCCCTATGTGACACCTCTTTCCTGTGTTAGCCTTACATAGTATCTCCTTCCCTCACCTTACCCAAGAACAATGGCCATTTCAGGAGGACAGTCAAGTGGACAGTACACAGCCAAAGAAACAACAAGGAATTTAATCCTACAGTCAAATTTGTAACAAGTATTTGCAAAAGGCAAGTTTTGCTGATTTATCAGGGTGACTTGCTCTAACACTCCGTAACTACTCATTGAAGCCACTTGCAAAGCCTAGGGCAGTCAGAAATGTGCCCTCAGCTTATTCATTTCTCCTCCTGGCAGGCCACAGCTGTCAGACTGCACCTATGAGAATTTTGACCGCAGACACAGTGGCAGCCAGACTTTGCCAACAGCAAGAACAGGCCCTAGATGCAGCTGAGGAGCCGGGTAGTCGCATCCACCCGCATGGATTCCATTCCCATCTGCTCTCTATATGGGTATACTCTCTCAGGGAACACAAACCTGATGTTGGCTGATGCACTGAGGGTCAAACAGGCCTGGAACTGGGTGATCTTTACAGTCCCTTTGAACCCAAACCATTCTACAATGCTATGACTTCCAGCCTTGCTGCTGCTCACAAGCAAGAGCATCCCTTAAAGGTAAAAAAGAAAAAAAAGAGAAGACCACAAAGAATGGAGCTGGAAGAGCAGAAGAGGATCTCCACATGATGTCAGTTTTAAGCAACCCATGTGATTTTAGCCCATGTTGGATAGTGTTTAGCAACCAGGTAACAGTACAACATTTTCTCACATGTTTTTGCTTTGCCTTTTGAAAATATCCCTCCAAAAAGCTGCTTTCACCATTACACTTGTCCAACCACATGCAGCTCCCAGAGCCTGCAAGTGAGCTACTGTCCTGTTTCAAATACCAGCTGTGACACTACTGGAATTTCTGCTGGGTTTTTATTAACTATTATCACTATTCCTTAACTTCCAGAACAGTTTATTTAAGAGTTTAAAGGAAACCTTAACTTTCAAGAGGAGTCCAAGTAAGAAGGAAGATGTTTTCCAAGAGCTTTCAGAGCTGAAAGCAGGACATGCAAAAGGTGGTCTGTGTTCTAACTCTACTGCAGCTCCTAGAGCCCAGAGCTTTGTAATAAATATGCTATGAAAATGTTATACAATACATCAAATTGGCTTTTTGGGTATTTAAAAGTTACAGAAATTATTTCTGAATGGTTTCCATCTCTGTGTTACATGGAAAAGCTCCTTTCTGGCCTGACTACTCATCTCAAACTCTAGTGAGATGAATTCACTATCAACAAAGTCACTGGCCATCCACACACAAGTCTAACTCAGCTGTGAACATACTCCAAGACCCAGTGAACAGACTCACCTTGTGGTAGAGGGTGATGTGAGTCAATCTGGAGTCCTGGGGTGGCAGAGGTCCAGGAGAAGGCTGGGAAGAGCAACAGGTTGGCTTAGACAAGGAAAAGAGAACTAAAAAAGTGAAACAAACCTACTTGCAGGTTTATACTGATGGATTTGATGCTCTGTGCAACCATTCTGGTGCAGCAGCTCCAAAACTCTTCCCCAAATGATTCTGTCCCTGGTAACCAGCACCACTGGCCAGGATCCTAAGCTGCTACTGAACTACTATCAAGCCTGTGGTTCTGCCTGCAAGCTCACCCCCAGGCTGGGAATCATTATTTTAAAGTTCACCTCTTCATGACATCTGTGCTGGGAAAGTAAAGCACAGTTTTAAACAACTTGGCCAGGATAATAAGTAAAAAGGAAATGCAAGGAAATACTTGAACCTGATTTTTTAAATCCCAGCTTAAAATCCTAGCAATGACAAAGCCAGGTTTAATAAAAATAAGAAGAGATGCAAACAGAAAAAGCAGACAGTGTAGTCATGGACCTGTAAGCTCAGTTTTACAGGTGTCACAGAGGAAACAGACATCAGTTGATAAATGGAATTGGATTTCTAAGCCCTTATTATTTATAGACATATTAGAGCCATGAGAACCCACTTCTACCTGTGGATGGAATTGAGGCTTGGTTTACAGGATTTTTCTCTCAAAAATTACTTCTTCAACTAAAGTAATCTGTTCCAAATGGAAGCATCAGACCTCATGTCCAAAAGCCAACTCGTGCCCCAAAACCACCTGGGGTGCACTAAGTATGCCCTGTTGCATGCTGTCAGCATAGTCACAGTGCTGCCAGCAAATGCATGCCACAAAATTGCTGCAACCCAGTGCCTCTCAAGTAGGGGAACAAGCAGGAGCCATTAAGAGGTCCATGTACTGGAAGTGTTCAAGGCCAGGTCAGATGAGGACATGAGCAACCTGGTCTAGCAGAAGGCGTCCCTGCCCATGGCAGGAGGATTGGAACAAGATGAACTTTAAGGTCAAAAAATGGTGTGGTGAGCGTTCATGGGATACCACCTGTCCAGGAGGTACACAAGGAACGACCCCCCATATTGGCAAGCCCTGGTCCTCACAGGAGACTCCAACCACCCACTCAAACTAGTATAAACAGGAGGGACAAAACACTGCAAAGCACATGCCAGGAGGCTTCTAGTATTGAACTCGTTTGGCCTAACAAAGTGTTACAGTTCCTCTCCTTTCTCCTGAAAAGTCATGATTTGGGAAGATTTGGGCATTGCTCTGTTAAGCACTTTAGCCTCCAGAATAAAGTACCATCTCCCATCACCACAACACTATGCCCTCCATGGTAAGTTGTATAGCCAGCTTGCATAGCAAGCACTATTGGCACATTTCAGGTACCTTGCTGCTTGACTTCTGGTTTTCCTTTCCAATGAGCAAAGTGAATGCAACATTCAGCTGTTATGTCCATTTCCCTGTTTGGTCTTATTTTATT